GACAGCCTGTCCCTGCCTCCCACGGCAGCAACTCGGGCAAATGAAGCGACACGGTGTGAGCTAATGAAACTTTTTAAATATATTAGATGCCCCAGAAGGATTCCTGCTCCTTTCAGGCATGCTGGACTGTGTGTAACGGTTTAGAGATGCACCAAGAGTAGACCTACGATGATGTGTGTCTGTGTGCTCCTGTCACTGCTCACTGTGGTAGTGCAGTAATGGATGTCGCTGGCTCTCTGTGGCTTGTTGTCTTTTCCTACTATGCAGAGCCAGCAGGATTCTCCTCCTCCTCCTCAGTCCAGCTCGGGTTTGATTCACTAGAAGAGATGAGTAATGTGTGATTCAAGCTGTGTTATAAAATGTTATCAGTACTCAGGTGCCTATGGGTTTGTGTCAGTGCTGAAGAAAACAGTGGAGCAAATTATTGAAGTTGCATCATTTTCTTTCAGCACGTTCTGTTTATGCATGAACCTGTTGCTCTGTTTTAAGACTTCTTGTATTTTTTCATTATAAAGTAAAGTAAGAAACCTTTAAATATAAACCTTCTGATTAATAATTCCTTCCAAAAATGTATTTTTAAAAAATGTATCTTGGCTTGAATGAACTCCACAAAGAGGCCAGATTAGTGAGGACATCAGAACCCTCTGGGCCAATTCAGGGACAGGATTTTCTCTGTTTTACATTTTAAATCAATGTAGCTTGATCTGGAAGAGTTAAAATGCTTTATGTGCTATGAACCCTCTTTTCTGGTGAAGTGAGGAACACCGTCCGCTGAGCTCTTGTGCTCGGCCCTCTCGCCACTTTCTGCTGTTTATGTTTGTCCAACTTTCTTGGCAGACCTGCACTTGGCAGCGGAGCTTGGCAAGACTCTCCTGGAACGCAACAAGGAGCTGGAGGACTCCCTACAACAGATGTACATCAACAATGAGGAGCAAGTGCAAGAGATAGAGGTATGGTTGACTCAGATGTTCAGGTCAGTGCAATCTAAACAGGTTTTATCCATAACAAATACCCTGGCACAGCCTGACTCTTACTTTCTGTATCAACATTAATTATTGTAAAGCATGGAGCACTTGGAAGGAAAAGAGAAGAGTGAACTACTGTCATGAGGAGAACATGTGCGAAATGACTAAATGTCTCCTCACAGTTCAGGGACTGGGCTCTGTATTAGTCAGAAGCTAGACTGAGGAGACAGCTGCAGACGCAGCACACAACTCTGAAAGAATCACATCGAACAAAAACTACGGTCATTATATATATCGCAGGAAAATGTCTTTTACGTTTTTCTCCTAAAATGTACAGGTCCGTTCTATTAGACATCATTTTACATCTGTTTGGTTGATTCTTTTGTGTAAAGCGATTGCGTTCAAACTCTATAAAAGCAGGAGGTAATTTAACATTGTACAGGTTGAACAGTTTGTGTAGCGAACCCCCACAGCCCTAGCTCATTTGAACTGATATTATTTAATTATTAATGATATATATATATAAGTAAATATTGGTTCAAAATTCTAGGTATTTAGGTTGGTTTGCATTAACACTACTACCACTTGGAAACTGATGTTTCAGCCATTTATCCACTACTTTCAGCTGTTTACCTGTTACTTTTAGGTAACAATTTCAACCAGGCTAACCTTTAGCTAGTCTAATTACTTCTACTCTTTATCCATTATGAACTAATTCAACCTTTAATCAACTCTGTTGATCCTTTAACTGCTGTAGCTGTATATCGATTACTTTTCGCTAACTACCAGGTGTCCCGGTTGGAAATCGGCACCGTCTGAATTACTGCAGAGGTATGTGGTCACTAATTATTTGTTTTTAAAACGCATTTCCCTTGCAGTACCTGTCCAAGCAGTTGGAAATGTTGAGGGAGATGAACGAACAGCATGCAAAGGTGTACGAACAGCTGGATGTGACTGCCAGAGAGCTGGAGATCACCAATGAGAAACTGGTGCTGGAGAGCAAGGCGTCGCAGCAGAAAATCGACAGGTGAGGCACAGCTGCTGTTGGCTCACACCGAGACTGTCGTCACTGTCATTGTCCACTCTCCACTGTAGAAAGATGTGTGCGCCGAGATTGATGTTGTAGATCACTCTTGTCATTAGCACACGGATGTTTTGAAGACCAAAAATCATACTCCAAATGTTAGGAAGCAACTCTGTAATGTTCTTGTTCTTCCACATTTACAACAGCTGTATGAGAACCTCTACCTGAGCTACTGTAAAACACGTCTTAATGTTCCCTTTGGTAGTTTCATAATCAGGGATTGAAGCTGTTTACAGAATATTTTACTGGACTAAAGGCTAAAATAGTTTTCACGGGCTGCTTTTGTTCTATCTAAACTGCTCTTTCACATTCTTAGTTTTGCAAAGTGACTCATTGTTGCTTTAGAATCATGGTATGTTGAGAAAAGAGAGAATTTAGTTTCTTCATTAATGACATGAGCACTGAACAAACTGTGTGTGTGTGTGTGTGTGTGTGTGTGCAGGTTGACAGGCACCATGGAGACCTTGCAGGGTCAGGTGGACAGTTTGACAGCTCGAGTCGAGGAGCTGCGAACTTTGGAGGAGTTGAGGGTCTGCAGAGAGAAGAGAGAACGGCGCAAGACCGTCCACTCCTTCCCCTGCCTCAAAGAGCTCTGCACTGCCCCAAGGTCACAAACTGTCAATAGTTAATTTTCTAATACACTGATAGTCTGACTGTGCAGCTGTAAAAGATAAAATCCAGCACACTTAGTGATGCTAGACTTCTTTTTGGCAGGTATGAGGATGGTTTCCTGTTGGCCAACCCGGGCAGCGTGGACCTGGCTGAGAGACAACCGGTGGATGAAGAGAATGAGCGTCTGAGGGATATTGTCTCATCGCTGCGCTCAGCCATGTCCACAGAGCGGTCCATGCGGGAAAGTGCTGAGCGGGAGTGTGCCACTGTGCTGCAGGAGTTTGAGTGTCTGGAACAGCGTCTCTTAGGAGCAGAGGGCTGCCAGATGCGGGTTCAGGAGCTTGAAGCTGAGCTCCAGGAGATGCAGCAGCTGAGGAAGTCCAGGATGTGTCTGATTGGGGGCTTGGAAGACGGCCTAGAGACACTGCTCCACAACGGCCCAGAGACAGACACCCCAGTGGAGGGCACGGGGCCGGAGGAGGGAGGTGATAGTGGTACTGTAGAGGCGGGGGTCCCAGTGAGGAAAAGCTGCAGCGACACAGCTCTAAATGCCATCTCGGCTCGTGATGCATCAGGTAGACGTCAGGGCAGTTACGCCCTCCATGCTAATGGTGTGCGCAAACGGGGCATGTCCATCCTGCGGGAGGTGGACGAGCAGTACCACACCCTGCTGGAGAAGTATGAGGAGCTGCTAGGCAAGTGCCGGCGTCACGAGGAGAGCCTGTGCCACGCTGGGGTGCAGACCTCCCGGCCTGTCTCCAGGGACCCCTCCATGAAGGAGTACAGCATGACCGCCGCAGGGCCTTCAACATCTGGAGCTGTAGCCACCCCTCCCACAACTCCCTCCACCCCTGAGGCCCTGGAGGGGATCAGTCGGCAGGTGGAGCAGGTGGATAAACGGCTCAGCCAGAACACACCCGAGTACAAGGCGCTGTTCAAAGAGATCTTCTCCCGCTTGCAGAAGACTAAGAGTGACTTGAACTCCACCAAGAGTAGAAAGACTAACAAATGAACTGGAGCTTCTTATAACAGCCTCTGATGCCACGTGCACACAGGACTTAATTTGAATGACTTGGATGCCTGTAGCCCTTCAGCTGGGTGATCCACACCGTTAGCAGTGGGTACATCCATTTGTTGTCTAGGAGGTAAGCTAGGCTGACTAACCCGGAGCTGCCAAACGTTATCGTTCACTGCACAGATGAGGGAACATTGATATGGTAACTGTGTTGATGAAATAACTGACCAGTAACAAGAAAAGGTTTTGTTTCTGTCTTAGGACAATCTGTGTAGTATTTGTAACTGTGCTGAGGCAGAAATGCTTGAACTATTTTTCTATTTATGCAAAACACTAATTAAGCCAGATAACTGAAATAGAACTAAAGAAACTTCAATTAGCTTGGAAACTACTTACGACAAATGAACAATGTACATGTACTGTAACCGTCTACTCAAATCATTAACTGCTTAACATTAACTGCCACTCAGAGCGATATCTGGACTGAATTTTGCATTTACTGAGCTACAAATCCTTCCAGTCAGCTGCCAAAGTGTACTGTTTTTAAGTGTTTCATGGAGTTTTTCTGTACTTGAATGGAGGGGAGAGCGTTGCCTCCGTAGTAAGTGTTTCATGGAGTTTTTCTGTACTTAAATGGAGGGGAGAGCGTTGCTACAGCATTACGAGCTACGGGGCTGAATGGTCCACATCTTTGTTTCAGGGATTTGGTGAGTCATTTCATATATAATCAGTTCTACACGGTGGTGACACTTTAACTTTGTTCTTGCAGAAATCCATTTAAAATGTTCTGTTAAAATTCATCTGAACATTTTTTATGCGCTCAGGGAGGCAACAATTCAAAACCTGTAGCAGCTTATTCGTGTAGGTCAGGGGTGGGCAATCCTGTTCCCAGAGGGCCGCTGCCCCGCTCATTTTCCAACTATCTCCGTCCTACCCGCCGCTGACCACCTGGATCAGGTGTGTTTAGTCAGTCATACCAATTCAATTTCTTCACTTGACCTTCATCTAAGCTGGTATTTTCCAGCTTCTGACTGCCTAAACACACCCACTCCAGGTAATCAACAGCAGGTAGGGCAGGGATAGTTGGAAAATGAGCGGGGCAGCGGCCCTCTGGGAACGGGATAGCCCACCACTGGTGTAGAACATAGTGTGAGTAAACAAGAACACAAATATGCCCAGTTTGAACAATTTAATGTGAACACAGGAGATCAGCAAACTGTAGATAATAGTAGCACACACCGAGTCGAACCACATCAGTCCTCAACACATGAAGCTACAGACACTATTCACATATTTATGGAGTATAAAAAACAAAAAAAGAAAACACCTTTACATGGCAGGATGTGTTAACCATTGATGTCTGCTGTGGGACTGATGTTTTTATATAGGTCCAGAGGTCAATTACAGACAGTTCACCTGACCGATGTTGAGCCCTGAGTGCCGCTGAGTCAGCAGGAGCAGCATGTGGTTGTAAGGGACTGGCACAGTCACTGTGGTAATGTTGACCGATACAAGGTGAGCAGTCTAACAGTCCCTGTGTTCGAGTCGGGAAGGAATACACTGGTAGTATGGCCTCAGGGATTAGAGAGGACACTGGGTGATACAAAGCCATTAGTACAATGTATTTAGAGTTTTTGTAAATTACCTCAGAAGTAACTGTTTAGAAAAATAAGTTCTGAGATTAAGGCGATTGTAAATAAAGCTGGTGTGATCGATGCCTACGTGTAATGGCTTTCACAAATCAAATCTGAAATAAAGGTATTAAAGGTCCTTAGTCCTGATTCCCTGTCCATACAGTATATACTACAAGCATTGTTAAAAAGAGGCTGACGTGATGGAAGCATTGTTAAAAACATAAACATCTGGTAAATGTGATCTGAAAGCAAATGGCTCAACTAGTTTTTTTTTTTTTTTTTAAATAAATTCCTAAGGGTTACAGGTAAGGCCATGTGGCTGCTGAAATACCTGTCAAAATACCCTGATCAGTAGAGGAACAGCCACACCTGCAGCAAGAGGAGACAAGGGGTCAGAGGTCACTGTTTCCCCTGTACTTTGAGCAGATTCTGTAGGGTGCTAAAACAGAGGTGGCCTGAATTCCAAATTATTTACCAAGTGCCTGGTACAAATAATCTGCTCAAAGGCTTTAGGAGGGTTGCGTCCAAGAGTTGTCCAGCAAAGAGGCCACATACATACAGCAGTACTGCTTCCTGTACAATGCTTTCCAAGGCAGATTGTGGTAATCGTACAAAATGAGGAAGAATGAAAAAGGGGAAGAAAAGAAAGCTAAGGGGCACAGAAAATCAAATTTCATCTCTTTTCCAAAAGCAGCTAACTTTTTTACAATTTTTTTTTCTTTTATAAACAAACTATAGCCACAAAATCTGGAATGTGCACATTTGCTTTCTCCGTTTGTAAAAATATAATACTTAAGGGAAACAGTAGGTGGAGGCAAAAGAAGTGTCATGATGGGAGGAATGATAGTGATTGGAATTTAGGAAAACATAACGAAACTGTAAGAGGGTAGAAGTGGATAGATGGAGAAAAGCTTAAATCAACATGTATTCCAGAGATGTAGCCAGACAAAGAAAGAGGGGTTCAAGCAGAGGGAAACCTTGATGGAGGGGGAGGGGAGGGGGAATCAGTCTTTCCAGTCTTTCTTGATAGTGAGGCTCCATTCCCAGGAGAGATGGTCATGTTTGTCATCATCAGTGAACTTGGACTTGATGTTGTAGGTGCCGCGGACCAAGAGGCCTTTAGGCGCCTCCTCCATGGGCGTGAGGAACTCGTACTCCTCTTTTGGCCTGGGCCCGTAGCTGCCGACCATGTACTCCGTCTTGTCAACTAGACACGAGAGAAGGGAGGGAATAGGGGTCGTAATACGATCACACTGGTTCTAAATCAGGTCTGTTGCAACATCTCTTAAAAATCTAAGCCACTAGATGAACATGTACTAGACTGATAATATGTAAAGACAACAAACCACACGTACAGTATGACATGCATCTTAATCAAAAAAGAAGCAGGGCCATTTGGGGAATTTGAAAACGTGGCTTTTAAAGGAACAAGCAAAAACAAAATCACAGCACAGATAAAATGCACAACTCGGGGTACCTGATAAAATGTTTCTGGATCCTGATACACAAAGTTGACAGACTAAACCCTTTAGAGTACAATGATTATATCTGTACAAAAAGGGATTATATGCCAGACTATTTCTGGTGAGTTGCCAGGCAACCACCCGTTAACTAACTATATTTACACTTCTGTACAGATTAATTCAAGATGGATCATGTTTAGCTTTGGAGGTGCTGGTAGTAAACTGACCTTTAGACCGAGCCTGGCCAGCTGTTTCCTCCGTTTCCATTGTTTATGCTAAGTGCTTGTAGCATCATATTTACTGTGCAGCTACAAGAGTGGTCTCAATCTTCTCATCTACGTCTCAGCCAGAAAGCAAATAAGCTTATTTCCTAAACTTTAGCTTTAAGTTAGAAGAAGCTAATCTTGTATACTGTTTACATGTAGAACTCCACCTAAGGAACTACAGAGATTAAGCAATCATTGAGGCAGCCTTACCTTTAACGCCTTTCCTGAATGATTGCTGAATGTACTTCAGGCCTGACACAATTTCTTTGTTGACCTGCAAAAAGCAACATGTTATATCCAGCTGAACCGTTTCCCATGACAAAGATAGCTCATGCAGCTGCCGTAACATCTCCAAGGCTCCAACAGTCTGAGAAAACAGAGGAATCCTGGTTTTGACAAAGACCAATCTCTCACCATGAATGTGATCTTTACTCTGTACTCAGCTCCCTCTTTTATCACGAACTGGTTCTTCTTGAGCTTATCCAGGTCTGCAGGGAAGAGAAACACAGCAGGCAAAGAAAAGTCGATGAAAACTGTCAAGAGATGCAGAACTTTGCAGCACGCTGTAGTAGCTGTACTGACCACCAGAGAGCACAATGCCTCAAGTGAGCCCAGCTGTCCGGCCGTGCTGTAGCTCGGTGTGACCAGGAGTGCCCTCAGGAAATGGCTCATTAACCCACTTACACCGGCACCATGTCATCACTCATTAGTGAGCGAATGACCCAGCAGGTCAACTGGTCTATATTTGCACACAAGGATGAGTGCTTATGTCATAATTAATACTACTATGAAACAATTCCTCCAGTGTGTTTGCTGTACTGAAAGACAGCTGCCTAAACACAGCTTTCACCTCTGTGCAGCGAAAAGTCTGACGTCCACTATCACTCTGAAAATCCACTGATTAGGTTTTTCCAGCTTCACACAAACTAAACTGCTCTACTCACCCTTCAGATCAAGGACCAGAGGGCCCGGTGCCGTCTCACATACCAGAGTCATCTTCGTCACCTGGACATTGGGGGCGCTGGGATCTACAGGAGAGAGTCAGACATTCAAAATTATGACCACAAGACCATTTATGGCACCTGAGAGGAGCGTTGAGGGAGCCCACGTTATCTTAACTGTGATTTTTTTTTTTAGTAACAGGTCAAATGGTCAATCACGAAGCTCACTGATTAGACTTTAAACAGTCTGATACCCTGACATTTCACTTCTAACACCTCAGGGCATCCCTTCACTTTGTCTGTTCCTCCTTTCCCACACTGAATAAAACCATTTCAAACTGAGATTACTGGACAGCGGTTGGATATTTAATATTAATTCAACAATAAATTTTACAGTATTTTCTTTAAGAAGCTCCACATTCAAATTGTTTTAGTGATGCTTCTCCATTTTGCAAACTGTTCTTGATATGGAAATGATGCAGTAATACATTAATTTCCTTGTTGCCTTAAAACAAATATCTACATAAGTGCTTTAAAATAAAATGACAGTATAATATAAACAAAAATGATCGAGTGAAGAGCAGCGTGAATCCATCCTCTCATTTATAACATATGGCTGTGGTTTTACACCCCACACTACCAGTACAACAAGCACACAGAGCAGCAACTTTACCAGCTTCTGGAAAGAATGTTGCGGACACACAAACTAAAGACTACAAACAGCTGAGCTGAGATTTACTGCAAGACAGATAGCAGCAGTTTTTGCAGCAAATTGCTGCATTGGTGGATGAAATATAAATGTGCAAATATGTGCTTATCTAGGAGTGTGGGTAGTTAATGGCTTTACAGTTGTTCTAGAAGATTATAAGAGTTATTCACTGACCTACAACCACAGCAGCGTTACCCAGGAGCGCCTCCTTGTACTTGCGCAGGCTCTCATCATCTTTGTCCAGCTCCTGGATCTCCTGTAAGCTCTTCTGGGCAGGAGCTTTGTAGTTGACTGCGTTCTCGCTCTCTTCGTTGGCTGCTGCGATTGCTGCCAGCTCCTCGGGTGTGGGTTCATGCTCGGCCATGGTGCGCTATTCCCAGTAGGACAGAGACAGCAGAGAGAACAGGTTAGAAAGAAGGGACATTTTTTTTTACCCTTAAATGAAATCTGGCCTACATGTGGAGCAAGGCAGCACACACACAACACACTCGACAGTAAAACAGTTCTTAACGACAAACTCGATGTGGATTTTTATGGGTAATGTCATTTTTGGCAAGAGACAAGGCAGTTTTACTGTATTTATGTCCCTTTAGCACCTCGGTGTATGCTTACACATCAACACAAACACTAGCTGAGATGAGAGCCGGGACACGTGACACTGTGTCCAACTGCATTGCTTTGAGGCTGTGCACCAGTGGGCTAAAAGCTGATGATTGTGGTGGAGGAGATCAAATAAACTGCTGTCAGGCTTCAGCACTGGGACAACTGAAAAACTACAGTGCTAATCCAGTTTTCTACACGCAGCTCCAACGTCACTCCCATCAAAACATGAAGGACACAAGTGAGGATACCGTTTCTCAGCAGGGAACAGGACATCACCTTCAGTCTCCGAGTAGATAGGGGTTCTTGGGGTACGCTACACAATTTAACTGTCACTCAAAAAACATTTTTTTTTTATGTGTTTGGGCTGTTGTAGACTTGAGAGCAGCCGAGTGCTAGTCATCCACCTTTAGTTTATTTAATTGAAATTAGTGACAAAACATTCCTCTCAGCTAACAGTCAACTATGTCCTCAAATGCCTCATTCGAAATGTTTTCAACATCATGTTGAAAGAACTTCATTTCCTGTTTTTGAGTGAATTGAACCAAGCGTAACCTCAGGCTGTTTAACTGCTGAAGATCAGTTAGTCCTTTGAGTGCATGTGTTTTTGAGGTGTGTATTCTTAATAATGGAACCTTGTATGTGAAATGGGTTAAAACCAGTGAGGACTGACACTTGAATGTTTATATGTACAAATCACAGAGAACAACCAACTACCCCAAAGAGAAACATTTTAACACAAACTGCCTACAAATGCTTCACTCTTCTGTTGCCATCTTAGTTAACAGTGACAAATCAATGTGGTGTAAATGTTATAAATCCAGCTAACAAACCAGACACCAGGTGACAATCACTAATACAGAACACAGGTGGACAACACCACACTACTCACAAGCTAAGGAATCACAATAAAATGGCACAACGACAAAGAGACACTCCATGCAACACAAACTGGTTTGTCACCATGCCTCTGTCTGACCCTGCTTGTCTGTTCTATTGTGTTCACCACATACAGTTGTGTATTAGCCCAGTAGGAACTGAGATTGCAGCAATGTTTTTCCAGATGGGGCCTCTGTGCTCACCTAAAAAGCACACATTCCTTTTCTGCCAGCACTTTGGCTTTCGATGCTCAGCTGTGTGTGAGTATTTCTGGAGGGAGAGAAAGACTGACAGGCTCCTTGCTGCACAGAGAGAGAAGGAGCAGATAAGACAGCAATGCAGTCATTCTGCTCTGCAAGGAACAGGTTGCCTTTCACGCTTCCTCTACATGCGTCTCAATGGCGCAGCCACAGACCACAGTGAGTGAGCTGCATGGCGACTGAGCGAACCAAACTGTCAGAGGAGGAAGTGCCTGGTCAAATAAGACTCGGCTGCTGCCGAGTTACAAATACAGAGTCTCTGAAGACACAGGCACAGGAGTAGGCTTGTTCTACAGAGGGGAGAGTGAAGAGTTAGCTCACCTCAATATGTTTGACTGAAAAGTGTCTGTATAACAAAAAACTGTCAAAGAACCACATTTGGCACTAAGATGAATAGCTAATTCACTGATGACAAAGAACATGTTTGGTAACTATATATATGCTAGCAGGCAGGGAATACATGGAACGCCATAACCAAGTGGCTGGCATAGTGTACAGAAACATCTGTGCTGAGTACAGGCTGGAAGTCCCAAAGTCAAAATGGGATACACCTCCAAAGGTGGTTGAGAATGACCAAGCTAAGATCCTGTGGGACTTCAAGATACAAACTGACAAACTGGTAATGGCCAACCAACTGGACATAGTAGTGGTGGACAAACAGAAGAAGAAGGCTGCAGTGATAGATTTAGCAATCCCAAGCGATGGCAACATCAGGAAGAAGGAACATGAGAAGCTTGAGAAACATCAAGGGCTGAAAGAAGAGCTAGAAAAGATGTGGAAGGTGAAGGCACATGTGGTTCCTTGTGGTAAAAGGAACATTAGGGTCTGTGACCCCCAAACTGGGAGAGTGGCTCCAACAGATCCCAGGAACAACATCTGAAATCTCTGTCCAGAAGAGTGCAGTCCTAGGATCAGCTAAGATACTGCACAGGACCCTCAAGCTCCCAGGCCTCTGGTAGAGGACCCAAGCTTGAAGGAAGGAATTTGCCGTATGGATTTGTTGGAATAATGAGACAGGCCTCAAGCACAATTGAATTTCTGTCACAACACTGTTCTTCTAGCCAATTGTTTTCTGGCTGGCTACAAACTGACAAGGCCCCGTCATTGTGCAGTGACTGCTGGGAGGCAACACAAACTGTTGAACCTCTCCGCCTCAGTGTCCTAACCTCTACCTGCACAGCCCTGCATGCAGCCCTCTTCTACAGAAGGGTAATCTGTTTGCTTGACTGGACCAAGCAGCACAGTTTTACAAACACACCAGGCCTGGTAGCAGCTGAGCCTTCAAATTAGGCCCGTCACTTTGCAACACGCCTGATTAAAATTATATAAAATGGGCTTACAGCTAATGAGGCCGTCAGGGACAGAAAAGAAAAAGTGTCTGGAGGTATCGTATCAAGAGGATTCTCTTGACAGAAAAAATACTCAAGACATACTGAAGATAATTGATCAGAGAGCCCGGTGAGGACCAGGGCAATCCATGTGGGGTGATACAGGCTTTACTAACTGAAGGGATGTGTGCATGTGTGTACAGGGCCCCCTATCCACATCAAGCAAAGCTGATTAGTGGAATAATTGGTCATCTTTGGCCAATTAGTAGTTGTCCTTATCTTCTGAGTTATCAGTCATCTGGTCTTTAATACGCTGCAGACCTTCAGCATGACTGCAGTCACTGATCAGCAATAATTCTGGAGAAACTATTCCATTACTTTTTAAATTCAATCAACAATTCAGTTAGTCATGAATTAGTGGCAGTATTTTTGTCGCATTTAAGATGAAATAACCTGTCACAGTTTAGGTAAATCTAGACTACAAAGAAAAAAATACAAATCTGTATCCCTGCAAATGTTCTGGTCATACAGCTGTAATCCGACTGTGTGCACTCCATCTAGTGCCTTGGGTAGTAATACAGTGGATGCTAGAGGTCAGGCTCTTCATTACAGGTCAGCGATATATGTATGAGGAATAATAAGCAATGCAACAAGAAGCTTAGCTAGTAGAGATGCTGTGCATCGCCCTGCTCAGCCAGTTCTCTACAAAACATTCAGCTGTGGACACTGGCATCAGGGAAACATTTAATTAACCATGTTCTCCCATGATAATGCATCGGGTTTAAATGAGAAGAACTCTAACAGGAGCTTTGTAATTTGACCACATCAGAGCCATATTAACTGATAACTGAGGAAGCAGAGGTCTCACTGCTGAAGAATAGACTGAATTATTAGAAACACATTTATCTCAGAGGCAAGAGTCAGGACATAAAAGTGAGCGCTGGCAACCACTGCAAAGTGACATTTAGCTCTTGGCTTCACCTCCCTATTGAAGATGTCACCCACTGATGTCTGGCTGCTTTGATCTCTGGTCTCTGTTAGTAGTCCGTCTCATGCAACTTTGTCAGAGACCTCTGGATCTATGCCTTTCATCCACACCAGCAGCAATGCATCAGTGCAGCTCACAAGTATCTTCACACACCTAATCAAAGCACTTCTGTGCTTTAGTAAAGCATTTTTCATGGCTATAATTCTGTCATATATGATGCTGATTTTCCAGTGTCAAACTTATATACACTTCACTTATTTTTCACTTTCATCTTAGGGTATATTTACCCTAATCAAACATTAACGGCACCAAATAAAATATGAAAACACCCATATACTATCTATCTGAATACCACTAAGCCCTAGCAACGGTGCCCTGTGTGTCAGGCTACCGCTAGACCTTTCTGTCAAGAAATTACTGCAAACTTCCTTTTCAAGCAAGAGTGTGATGATTCACATCCTTTTGAGCGCTAAACCACATACACTGCCAAGCTGAAGCACAACTCATCTTCTTAATGTCCTACCTGTGAGTTCTACACTATTTCTGTGTAAGGAAATAAATGCAAAATGATGCTGGCACTAGCTAAATGTTATGACAGCAGAGAAAGTAACACTGGGCCCCACTAAGCTGAGGATGTAGCGCGAAACATACCAAAGCTTTGAGGAAGTGTTGCACCAAGAGGCTCTAGGCAAGGCTGATGCAACACAGAGAAACCTAACCTCAACAGAACAGAGAAGAGGATGAGAGGAAAAAAATGAGCATGCATGCAAGATAAAAAATTAAGGAAGAGACATCTTGTTATAAGTTGGTGATAATGGATGAAGTGATAAGCTAATGGCACAAGAGCTGTTTAACAAACAAAATAATGTGCAGGGTTGCAATATCAGTAGAAAAGACTACTCTGATCACAAAGAAAATGAGCAACAGAGAAATGTGGCTGAGTGAAACAAAACAGGACTCCGTCCCAGGAAGGACAAGAACAAATAGGAAGCTTTAAAAATAGCCAGTGAGAAACCCTTGTGTGCATCAGCAG